AAACTTCAATTGGTTCTAACTGTCTGGAATGTGTGTTGTGGGAGGCCATCCTCTCACATGATTTGAGTTACCTCCCTGGCTGGGTGAGAGGCGCTTAGACACCGCTGTGTTAGAGCCTTCCTCACCCTTTCCCAGATCCCAGGGCTTGTCCGTGCAGAGGCGTGTCTGGCCACTGCTCCAAAGATCCAATCATCGCCCCTGATCTTGGGATGCTGCCCCCCTTAACCTTCATTGGATGGGATTTTCCCTGGAATTTTTCATTCCCCAATAAAAGCCCAGTCCCTGGCATGTTCTCTCTCTCTCTCTCTCTCTCTCTCCTCTTCTGTAAACCTCGCCACCACATTAGGTGGCTGGAGGCGGGAGCTAGGAGAAGCCTCTTGGAGCTGGTATTAAAGGTAATGAGAGTCTTGTCTCTTTAATTTAAAACTCCCTAGACATTACTTATGAATCGAACCTTCTTTCATGAAGCCAGTGCTGGTCACATGGCAGAATGTGTGCTTTTGGATTTTGCTTTGGACACTGAAATTTTCTAACAGAGAAAAAAAGTCAGGAAAGAACAAATGAAGGCACATCAGAAAGTGGTTGCCCAAAGAGGTCAAATAATTAACACTGAGCTTGTTGGAAACTTAAAATTTGTTCAAAATATGGATTCAAACAGTGAGCCCCTTTCAAAAGACCCAGTTTACAATCTAATTCTCCCTTTCCCTCTCTCCCTCTCAGTGTTACATCCCCCAACCGTTACTATAATATTAACAAGAATCAGTGAGAAACTAAAAACAACAAAATGAACATTGATCTGAATTTCAAGATCAAAACATTCACCTCCATGAAATAATGCCTAGTGAACTCCTAGATAAATTATTTTTATGCAAGTAAATATCCATTACCTTCTGGGAAGTACATTCAGAAGCAACTTTTATTTTTATTATTTTCTACATGCGTACAGTGTTTCATGGTCATGGTGTTTTGTGTTCTAATAGTTGTTTGAAGTCCTATTGTCATTAGTTGTTCTTCAGCATCATATGTTATTTTACTTTTTTGGGTACTTTATCAGATTATTTGTCATACAATGGTTTAAGATGATTTAGACTTTGTAGGTTAAACAATGTAACTTAAATCATCTCATACTGCATGTGGTGGTTGGTGGTTTTTTGAAAATCTGCCTTCAAATGTTTTATCTTAGACAACGCTAAGTTCAGTTATATTAAAGAGACATTTCAAATGCTATTGCTCACATCCTTCTCCTAAACCATACCTGTAAATCCTGAGCATACAGGACTGTTGATACAACTCATGCACATTCCCATGTATGGCTGGTGCATTCCACATGAATGTATACACACACACTGCTCCTTATTCTGACATCTGCCAACAGTAGTTGCAGGATTCAGGCCCAAGGAAGGTCATGAGCTCATTTTGTTTTCTCAGAAAGCCACATGACTGCAAACTTCAACCAAAGAGACATTCAAGACTCTTAAGTGTCCCAAAATCAGAATCTGCTTGATTTTACAAATTGAGATGACCATGAACATTTTGTTTACAAAATCCTGGAAAGATGTGGTTAAGAAGAAATGGAACCTAGAAAAGTTAAGAGACTTGTTTAGGATCATTCAATGAACAAGCATCAGAGCCCAGAGATTGAAAGATAAGTCTTCAAATAGGCATTCCAAAAAGTACTGAGCAGGTGGTGTGGTGCAGAGGACAATCAGTAAGTGGTTCCTCCATTCACGCCCTCCTCTATCCAGCTGATACCAAGCACACTGCCTGGAAGCAGATATAGCAATGACAAGGGCACTGAAATGCAGCCCATTCCTGAAGACCACATTAAATTTTTTTTAACTTAGGGGTGAGGTGGGAGGGGCATTAAACCCATCTCCTACAAGATGGTTCTTCACTTAGAAAAAGGTTAACTAAGGATGCCTTTAAATAGTACACCATAAAGGTGTTTAAAGACTCCGAGAATGTCATTGGCAATTTTTAGGAACAGCTTTTATCTAAAAGAAAGTGCAGAGGTGTGCAGGGTGGGAGGGGCCCTGTGGGGGAGGATGTCCCCTCCTGCTAAATCTGGTGGCCTTCCATGTGCTCTCTGTGCTCTCCAACCAACAGAAATCACATTGAACACTAAATCCCAGCATGCAGAGCCTTCTCTGAGAACATATCAAGTGTGACCAGTATGAGGACCAAAAGTTTCCTAATTAAAAGATGAAACATTGAATAGCACCTTCTAGTGTCTCTGATATAAAATGTAAGGAAATAGCTCTTTATTCTCTTATTACAGTAATAACTCCTGAGGAAATAGGAGTTAAAAGTTAGTGAGAACCATGAGTTAAGTCCAGTGTAGCCCTTCCATGTCAATGATAAATGTGGAAGAAATTCATTGCAAATAATTTATGAATTGAATTTTAAACATTTTAGCAAAAAGAAAAAGTTGTTTTGCCTATCAGGCTTCAACTAGACTATGCCCTAATTTATACACAACTGGTATAAATCAAATCCAAAAGTTTAAAATACCTTTTTTCCCTCATTATATGGATTTGTCTTTCCTCTTTCAACAGCCCCTTCCACATTCCTCCAGGAAAGTTAGCAGGTTTCTTTTTTACCCCTAATTACAAATGGGGGTGCCTTTATTTGTATGTTAACCTCACCGATGTTATTAATAAGTCATGGAATTATTAATAAGTCATTTCTGAGCCTGGGGGTGTGCTCAATGATTCAGCCAGTGCATAGCATGCAGGAGGCCTCCGGATTCCTTTCAATTCCCAGGACCAAAACAACAACAACAAAAAAAATAGTAATTTCTGATGATTAGGTGAAAATGAAATAAACTGTTATCAGTTTGGAAAGACAGACATGAAGTAGAATTTTTTAAAATCTAAATAATATAATTTTTAAATTAACTTTATTGACTATTGTCAATCTGTATACATTTATGGGGTACCAAGTGAAGCTATTATTTATGTACATAATGTAGAATGGTTGAATGAATCTAATTAACATCTCTCTCACCTCAAACACTGATCATTTGGGGACGAGTTTTTGAAATCCTTCAAACATGGCCTCCACATGAGGAGCCAGGTAACTGGGTGAGTCAGACAGACAGACAGACAGACAGACACACACACACACACACACACACACACACAGGGGCAGTGTACTATTCTATTCTTGGGTGTCATCAAAATTTTCCATAATAAAAAAGTTTAAAAATAGATTTCCCCTTTTTCCCCTTTATTGAAGGAAGCCCTCTTGATTATGATGATTCCATTTTCATGCAGAAGGCATAGGCGGGTGGAGTACAGTGGGAAAAGGCATCAAACCAGCAGCATACCCAGGTTTTAGAGACAGGCAGGAAGGGAGCAAGGGCCAAGGGCACTTGCTCATACATCCACAGGCCTGGCACCTGTGGTGTAAATCTCCTAAAAGACAGTCAACACAACCGCAAGACGTGCAGCACGCAATTCTTCTGAAAATTCGACTCCAGCTTCCTACTGCCCTTGCTAGAACAGACATGAGATTGCTGCCCGCCACCTTGGCCGCTGGCTACTGCAACGGGAGTCCTCTTTGAGGACCACTTTCCCGCACCGACGCCTGCTGCATTGGCAAAGGCATCCTAGCAAGGAAAAGTTGGCTCGCTCTAGGATTTGTTATGAGGCTAGTCACCCCACAGGCTGCAGGTCTGCGCAGCGCGCCGCCTCTCCTTTTGGGCTCTAGACCAAACCCGCTAGCTTGTAAGAGGGGGTCGGACAGATACACAGCTCACGCGCGCGCGTGTCCCACCACCTGATTGTAAACTAAAAACGGAGGCACGGAATAATGTCCAGACCAAAATCAGGTCGGCCAGTAACTGCTGCGTTGGACATCCGGACGAGGCTAGGGAAGGCGCAGGCATCCGGTCCCTGCCAGCAACCAAGGCGCCAGCGCGTCTGACGCCGCAGAAGGTTGCGCGCACCTGAAGTCCGGGTGCCAAGTGTCAAAGCTTCTGCATGCAAGTGGACCACCGCAGAAAATGAGGGCTACCTCCTGCCGTCCACAGGAGCCACAATCCCTCCAACATCTCCACAAAGCACAACTGCGGGAGCTCACACTACTGGGGTCTTATAGAGACCAAAGCCCCTTCCCTAAGAAAAGTGCCCAACTCCGTGGATGACCCATTCTTCTTTCTCTCCACTACTCCGAGAGCGCACATGAAAAGACAGAAATCACGCCTAGGGAAAGAGACACTACAATTTGAACCCCAAAAGCGCATCTGCTTGCTCCCATTTCGGCGCCAGAGCCGGCGGCTCCCAGGGCTGCAGGCTGTCGCGCTGCCAGGGGACAGACAGATCGCTAAAGCTGGTCATGCCGTGGCCGGCAGTGAGGGGCTTCAGAAGTCCTCGCCGCCGTCCTGGTAACCGTTGGTATTCCCCATCCCAAACACGCTTGCACCCTTGCTTTCCTTTTCCCCTCATCTAGGCTACTCGAAGTCTGTTTCTCTTCCCTGTCCCTAGTCCGCGGCGGCTACTCTGCTCACCCGGGCAGTGTCGGTCTCCTCTGGGTCGCTCCGGGGGCGGGGGTGGGGGATAGTTCCAACCTGCAGAGCCAATGCCCGCCGCACGCTCCAACGGCCCTGGGCAGTCTGGTTCCCCAGCGCTCCCAGGACTCAGTCTCACCAGCTCCTATGGACTTCGCGCAGCATCCCCTCCGTGTCGCTGGGGTGCCCCGGGTGGCGAGAAGCCAAGGTGCAGCACGGGCGGATAGCACCCAGTTCCTTCCTGCGAATTTCCCCCGCCAGCTCCTGTTTTCCCTTTCGCCCGGCGGCCAGCGCCTCCCAAGTCCCGCTACTGCGACCACCCGGACTTACCGCGGGCGCCAAGCCGCCACCGGGTCTGCGTGGTACAAGGCGGAGCCACGAAGCCCTCCGCTGCAGGGCAGCCTCCCGCGCCCGCCACCAGCACGCGGCCCCCGCCCCACCCCCGTCCACTCCTCAGTTCGTCCGCTCCGCCGGGGCGGTCGGGACTTACCTCCGGGACAAGGTGACCCGGCTGCTGCGCCCAAGCGGCCGCCCGCGAGTCTCCGGAGCCAGCGAGCGTGCGGGGCGCAGGGCGGTGCGGCGCCCGCCTCTGCTCCTCAGCTCCCAAGCTCTCTCCTTCTCTGCCCTCCCCTTCGCTCCCCTCGGCGCTGCTTCGCTCCTCTCCCCCCGCCGCTCCCCGCCCAGTGCTCGCCGCCAACGCCCCCGGCTGCCCCGCGCGTAAGGGAGCTCCGGGAGCGGGGCAACAGCGGCAGCCCGGGCGGTGGGGAGTCCGGAGCGGCGGCGGCGCCGGGGCGGAGTCGAGTCCTCTGGGCCCGGGAGGAAAGAAAAGGGTGCGAGGAGACTCCGGTGGCGTGTGGGGCACGGGGCGCCCGGGGGCGCGCCGCTCCGCTTGCCTAGTCTGGCGACGCGCGTGCGAGAGGTGGCAGCCTTGGGGCCCTGGGGAGGAGGGCAGCTAGGAGGAGGAAAAGGGAGCGGCCCTGATCGAAGGAGGCTGCCAACTTGCCCCAGGCCAGCGGGGCCCTCCCGGCTGTTAGCGTCTGGTGGGTGGCCCGGGGCCAGAGTCTGGAAATTGAGGGTGACAGAGGCTGGGGGAGGGGGACAGACACTGGGGACTAGGAGGACAGGAATTTGCAGCCTGACTCCGGGAAGCGATGTCTCCCCTCGGTCCTAAAGGCCTCCCCAGGCTCCAATTCGGTTTTGAGGTTCATGACAACTCACTGTGAGGGTCAGGCGAATTTGTTCAAATCCTGACCTGCTAAGCCATTGATGGAGGAGGAAGCAGGCAGAGAGCGGATACTCGAGACCCCTAAGCTCCGAACCAACCAATTATTAGTTCATGAAGGGCCCACAGTAATTGCAACTGAAAGGAAACCAGGGCGGCGGCGGTGGGGGCGGGGGTATAATGATGGCAGAAGAGTAGGTAGTGGGAAGCCTAGGGAAGGCCGCCTATCAAGACAGGCTGAATTTCAAACGTCGGTGAAGGCCTGAGGGTGAGAAAGAGGTGTTTTCATTTTAGATTTTCTTGAGAACGAACTATGAAAGAAAGATCCGCCAGAAAGAGGGTCAAAAGTTATCTAGAATAAAATCTGTGCGCCCCTCTTTCAACACCAGGTGGAGACCCGCCGCGCATTCCAATCCTGCCAACCCAGGCTCGCGCCCTGGTGGTCAAGGCTGAATACGTTCCAGGATTCCATGTTTCTGTAGTTCCATGTGCAGAGCAGAGCTCTCGCTTCTGCCTGAAAAGCCTTTGCTCCTGAGAAGGCGCTGCGTCTTGCCTAGGTCTTCACTGTTGGGGTTGCCACAAGGCAGGGGTTGAAGGGAATGTGGGGCTGTACTGCGTTCCCTTTGTAGGAACCTCCCCTTTGCGTCCCTTTCTGTAGAACATCAGCTCCTCCAAAACAATGCTAAAATGTAGAGTGCAGCCAGAAGGAGGCATTTGGGAGGAGGAGGAGGAGGTCAGGGGAACCTGCCATACTTCTACAGTTCTTTGCTTGGGAACATTTAAGTTCGTCTTTGCACCTGAATAACACTCCCATCACCTTCCTCTGAACTAGACACTCCTGGGGGTTTCCACCTCTGAACCACAGAGATGCAAGGCAGCGGTCTGGAACACTCTGAGAAAGTATATTGTGCATTTCTCCCATCTAATAGGAAAACAGTTTACCATCTTAAAGCAGTTTACCATTTCTAGGTCCTTTTCTAAACAGAACATATTGTCATTGAAACTGCAAGGGAAAGCAGATTTTGTGAGATCCATTTGAGTTGAAGAATCAGTATTCCCGATTATCAGATGAAGAAAGGGATGTTTTAAAAGGCCCACTGAGCTTCCCCACAGCCATCCAATATGCAGGAGTAGCCCCAAAGTCAGCAAAGACAGGTTCCCTACCTCTAGCCAAGGCTTTTTTTTTTTTTTTTTTTTTTTTTTAGTGCACCTTTGGGTTGGCTTTGGAGGCAGGTTTTATTTTGCCAAGAGGACACCTGCCTGGGTAACTGCCAGGGCTTGCTTTTACCTCTAGGGTATTGTTTGAATTTTAAATTGGATTTTTCCTAATATAGCAGGCAAACACCCTGTGGAGTGCATCATAAAACATGACCACAGTTACCTGCTGGTTCTCCTCCCTCCCAAAGTGAGTGGAATAGAAGTTAAAGAAAGAAAATGCCTTTGCAGTTACTTCCAGTATTTGGTTCTAGTGGACTATCTTCATGTCTTCATGTCCTAGTTCTTTGAAAGTTTTCTGCTGGATGCTTTGGAACTCTATACCAGCCCTTCCAGGGAATGTTGAGTATGGACAGACATACTGTGTGTGTGTGTGTGTGTGTGTGTGTGTGTGTGTGTGTGTGTGTCTGCATATATATATATGCATATGTATATATATTTTTAAGTGGGTTGTACTTCCTAAAAAGATTTCTCCAGCTTACTTCTTTTAATCTACCTAACCCAATTTAGCATTTAAACATTCACATTTTATTTTTCTATTGTGGAACATACAACTTCTCTCCCACAGTTGAAGTTGCTGCATTTTATGTTCCTTCAACTCTTTGCTTAGGCACATCCCAAATATTGAGCAAATGTGTTGGATTGTTAATTGAAGGAAAAAACACATTGGATTATATTCTCATAAAAATGATGTCCACTGAAGAAAGAGGGTAGCAGCACACAGGGTCAGTTTCTTAACATCCTAGTTGTTTGAATGAAAAATGAAAAAAAAAAATAGAACGTGGTGTACACTTAAATTTCTTCTTTTCTCAATTATTATTTCTCCTGTTATACTCATTTAGCCTTGAGATCTCAAATTATCAGTTGACTTTTCTTCACAGCAACACACACAAACACACACACACACACACAGTTTAGTGTTTTGTAACACAGATGACCTTACATTTCATTGCAAAAGAAATTTAATTTGGGGGGTGCAGGGAATCATGTGTAAATAGAGCAAAGTCACCTGTTCTTGACAGATGTAACTGCTCAGGGAAGAGATCCTGAGTTCCTGGTAGGCCTCAGTTGATCTGCAATGGGAGCAGCACCCACAGGCCAGTTTCTCTTAAATGCAGAACTCTAGTTGTTGCTCAGAATGTGATTGTAACTATTTTGCTATGATATAGCATTGAAATAAAGGCTTTCAAGAAAGTCAATGAAGAGCTGTCACATATCAGGCAGCAATAGGACACAGTAGAAATTGCCAAATCTCCAGGAAATTGGCTAACCTTCTCAACAATGCTTATCTCTCAGAAGAGATTACAGAACTCTCAGAGCAGAGAGAGGTCAGAGGGGCCAATTCCTGTGTTGTGAGAAACTGTCATTCAGGCACCAGCAAGCTGTCAAGCTTTTGGCCAACTTTCAGAATACTCTGCTTCATGTCCAGAGATAGGAGACGTGATAAGAGAAACAAGAGATTTGAAAGGTTTTCAAATCGGAAATATTCCTCAACATATCTTGAAATAAAAAGCTTTAGACTGTGGAGTTATTGGAAGCACGAGGATGCCCTAGTGTGTGGGGCTCAACAGTGCCCTTTAAGAAACCATCTGTATGTCACAGGTAAAAAAGGCTCAGCCTTTAGTATTGATTGCAATGCCATAGATTAAAAGAAAAAAAAAATCAGTACCCAATTCAAAAGCTGTGCGTTAATCTATTTTTTTCCTCCCCCTCCCCTCCCCCCAAAAAATATTATTAAACTGTTTGGCTAAAGTCAGTGAGTTCCAAGAATTGAAAATCTGAACTGTAAAGTTGAATCTTATTGACTTAGAAGGGTATGAAGATGTCCTTCGCAATGTTCAATATAGACGTGATGGGGGAGGCTATAAGAAAAAGGTGAATTGTTATTAAAAAAAAAAACTCAAAACTTAAAATAAGTCTGAAAAAAAAATGTTGACATGAATTCAGAACAGAATAAAAAGATGCAATCAAGTGTCAGAATGGTAGAGCGGGATGGGAACTTGATGATCACCTAGTTCCTCTCTTGGATGTTATGCTTGACAAAACAGTTCCAGAGGGAGTGGGCAGAGGAGAAGCTAATTCTAGGTCCAGTCTACTGACTTCTAGCAATCTAGCCTCTGCCTCCATTATATCCCTTTGGAAAGAATCAAGAAAGAGAGAAAAAAACAATGTATTTTAAGTAACCTCTATATATGCCAGTATATCAGCTATCTATTGCTGCATAACAAAGTACACAAAAAATCATGGTTTAAAAGATAACTATTTATTTGTTCATGGTTCTGAAGGTTGCCAACTAGGGATAAGCCAGCTGAGGTCAGCTGCCTTTGCTGTGCATACTATATCTAGGCCCACTTGTGCATTTGCAGTCAGCTGGCTGTCAGAGGCCTTATCATATGCCTGGGGGTTGTTGGTGGCTGTGGGCCATGGGTCTCTCCTCAGAAGTCTCACCCAGAGTTCTTTACAACATGCTGGCAGCAAGGGAAGGCAAGTCTCCATGCTTTCCAGGCTGGCATCGCATTGTCTTATTGACCGAAACAGTAAGGGCCCCCTCCCAGATTTAGAAGATGGGGAAACAACCTCAACTTTTTAATGGACAGAACCATAAAATTGCATTGTAAAAGAGAGGAATGAAAAGAAATCGTGTCCGTTTTTGCGATTTATTACATCTGGCAAGGAGATAAATTCTTTTTTTTTTTTTTTTTTTTATTGATTGTTCAAAACATTACAGAGCTCAAGACATATCATCTTTCATACATTCGACTCAATTGGGTTTTGAACTCCCCAAATACATAATACAGACTCACTTCTGTTACATACTCACATTTTTACATAATGGCATATTAGTGACTGTTGTATTCTGCTACCTTTCCTATCCCCTACTATCCCCCCTCCCCTCCCCTCCCCTCCCATCTTCCCTCTCTACCTCCTCTGCTGTTGTTCAATTCTCTCCCCTTTTTTCCCCCCAGATAAATTCTTTAGTTATGTAACCTTATTCAATCTTGATCAGAGCTCTGTGGGGCCAGCAGGGATGATTCCAAGGAATTAGGAAGCTGAGTTTAGGGACTGAGTAGTTCATCTCTCTCCACATAGCTAAGGAGTAATGATTGGGACTCAATCCGGTCCTGTCTTCAAATTCCCTAATATCCAACATTAACAGAGGGTGCCTGTCAAGAGTTAGCTAAATGCT